CTTGTTGTGCGCAAGTTTTAGTTTGCAATTTGGTGCCGAGATGGTGAAATGGGCTCGAGTCTGCTGGGTTATATAGGGCGCGCAGACACCAGACAGACAGACAGACAGACATCAGACAGCCATCGCGGCTTTTTCACGCCCCTGGGCATGAAAATTATTCTTTTTCTCGTGCGCACATACATCCACACACGATCCCTCTAAACAGCTTTTTTTTTGCAAAACAAAAAGCGTACCCCTTTACGGGCCACTCTTTTCTCAAAAAAAAAACTATTATAAACCTGTTATTTCTTCGAGTTTGGTGAGCTGCATTGACGTACGAAGTACGCAATAACGATTTTGGATGCTGTTGTTGTTGTGGCGGCAAGAATGTCGAGCGCTTCAAGCACGTCTTGTTAATGGCGAGACATGCACACACACGGCCTCAGGCCTCCAAGTTGACAGCGGCGAGATGAGTTAACTTAAACCTCCAGTCACGATCGTGTTCTTCCAGCAGTACCCTCCTCTCTCCTTCCTCCCGCATGCATCTCTTGACTCGACGCCGCCCTCTCCCAACGAAAAAAACAGTCGTAAGGAGTTCCAATTTCTGCGAGAGAGCCTAGTGAAGGCGGAGGTTGCCCACCTGGACAAGAATGGGGAGCTAGTGAGGGGGAAACGGGCGAGTCGGCGGCAAAAGAGGGGGATGGCCCAGACGTACACCGTCACCTGGAAGGACGCGGAGACGCAGGACGAGACCACACTCCCCATCGCTAGCTACGGCCTCGGTCGAAAGGTGCGTGTGGTGGGGCATTGCTGGCGGGGGGGGTTGGTGTGTGCGTTGACGTCCAAGTGATGGAGAGGATGGCGAACAAGTAGCAGTTTAAATTGAGCCCTGTTTGTAGCGTTGTTGAAGCAAGGTGAGAATACCCTTTCTCTGTGACGAATAAGGGTCCCTGAAGCGGTGATCAACCGTTCACCAGCGGAGATTTTTGTCTTTTCTTGCAATATGGCGAGGAAGTGCCAAGCGCAGCCGATAGGCTCGGCTTAGCTATAGCGGTAGTTCAAGAAAGGTGGAAGGTGAGAGAGTGAGGAGCGTGGGGCGCTTTTGCCGCCATCTCCCCATCTCCGAGATTCACATGAAAATAGTGACGGTACAGTATTCTGTGAATCTTTACTGGCAAATGTCTTCGGACGGTCGGACATTGTCCATGTAGTCTGACGATCTTTGCTGGTCGCATGTGCATCATTTCCTCGAGGAAGATACTTATATCCTGGTTTCCACATTGCCCCCCTTTTTGTTCGCCGAAAATCCATGTCGATTGAAATAGTCGGCGCTCATTCCACCCGGAATGAGGGAACGGTACAAGTGGAGTTGGGATATGTATTTCCTAGTAATATCCTGGTTTCCACAACGGTAGCCCAATCCATTTGTCTCAGAGGAAAATAATGGCATTCTGAAACTTGGGTCAACAAAGAACGCCAGCAAGAGCGATGCCCTCACGCTGACTAGCCAATTTCAAGATGCGGTTTGTTTAGTAGGTCAACGTCATGGCACACCATGGTGTGCAGGCATGCCTACAGAAAACAGCAAGGCTTGAGCGGTGTTGTGCACGCCTAGATGTTGTGGGAGTGGCACTGCCGTAAACACGCGAATTTCCCGAATCCGCTCGTCAAAGCGAGATTGAAGCCATCAACAGGTGGACTCGTCGCGTGCATGTATCACAAGACATTTGCTGACCATGGTGTACGCCCTTGGGCCTGTTTGGTCGGATTATTTTGTTTGCGTCGTGACCGTACACTTTGTCGCCATTGCGAATACTTGGAGTGATTCCTCCCTCACGTGTGGGCAGTTTTGCTGGATCGTATGCTAGACAGGATAGATATGTATGTGAATGATTTATCTTGGCTTCATTCGTGAGGGTTCAGAGGTTCGTGGGCAACAAAGACAGCGTCCCATTCCCACGCGACCGTTGACGAGAGCACCAAGGTCGCCATCATACTGCTTTAGTCGCACAGCAGGCGACACTGCTCCATTCCAACCCCAATGCTATCTTCTTTCTGCATGTTCACTTGTCGTTCCCCCCGTGGATCTTGATGGTGACCAGGTGCCGCGGGCAAAGGTTGCCCGAATCATGCAGTACGTGCAGCGGCAGATCGACGACCTCGACGTGAAGGAGGGGCGCTGGTTCACTGGCATAGGCATCGTGTGTTTCGTTTTCGGGGGTGTTCTGATCCTGCTTAGGGTGGTTGTGGGGTCCATCTTTCCCCAACCCCCGTCAAGGCGAGACTTATCTCGGAGACAGCTGTTCAAATAGGAGGCGGCAAGGTCTTCGGGATGTTCGAGGCATGGTGATCTGTTTCTTCTATACGCGGCGCAGGCAAGATGTTACGGTATTTGCTTGCTGCCGGTGGTGGCTATCTGTCGTGTGGATTCGTCGTTGAGGAGGCATCCTTTTAGTTGAGAGGCACCACCGATAACTTTTTTGAAACTGTGTGGGGATGACTAATTTGACATGTGCGTGTGGGATTGTACGTGTGGTTGTTGGTTATGCGTATAGTAGGCATTTGGGTATGGGGGGGGGGGTCCTTCCCGCTTGGTGGTCTTGCTTTCAACTGATTTAGCATGGCTGGGAAATAATGTTCGGTCTGTGGTTTCGACAACCGGGATTGACTGCACAAAGTCCTGGTGAAGTCCGCTAGTTGGCCAGGACCAGTTTACACTATTGAGGGGATGACCCTTTCCCCTTTTGCAGATGGTCGTGGTTTCTCTACTGGCGTTTTCTAGGAGAATCTTTGTTGAACCTCTCAATCAGACAGATGGTGTCTGTTATTTTGCTTCGAGGGTGGCCGCATGAGGTGCGCTCATAAATGGAGCGAGACGCCTGGGCCACTTGTAACAATATGAAGCCTAGGGTAACGTGGTGATGCCTGAAAAGGCTCATCGGCATATGACATGTATGAGGTCGCTTCTGGTTGGTGAGAATGTTGATGTTTGTGGGTATGATATGAGCTATTCTGGGCAGCGCCAAAGGGCGGACGCCACTGCCGTCTGTTTGTGTTTTGGTTTTATTGGTGTTGTGTTTTACTACGCATCGTGGGGCTTTTTTGTCATTGACCGTTGCCCCGGCGCGATGTTCTCGCCGCAACGAGGTTTATTTGACAGTGAGTGGTGGAATAGTGGTGGTCGTGGCTACCCATTGATTTACGGCCGTGTAGCCCTCGAGTCGTGGTAGTTGCCCCATGAATCGTATCTGTAATTGTATGCGGTAACATGTACGGTTGTCCATCTAACGCGCCTAGTATATGTAATGAATGGAGGCACTTTTTTTGGAGGGCCATCAACACGGTGAACCACTCTTAACCAAACCCAAACCCCCTGGGAGACCATTCATCGACGGGATGTAGACCATCCCATTTCGAAACCAGTGGATGTCACCAGCAATCCCCCGGAATCGAGATGCGCAAGCCTACGTCAACGTCTAACCTTGGGTGTAATATACGAGGGAGGTGAAGCACCGTCTAAAAAGCTGTGAATATTCCACTCCTGACATGTCTAGCTAGTAGAAGTGGAGGATGGGGGCCAGAGGGGCAGACGGCACAGTCCAATGTTGGGAGAAAAAAAAAATGTGCCCTTTTCACGTGGGGGGGGGGGGGGTNGGGGGGGGGGGGGGGGGGGGGGGGGGGGGGGGGTGTAGGCATTTCTATTCACAAACCTACAGAGGTAGGGAGCGAATGTGTCGCAGTACTACATGTAACACTGGCCGTCGCGGTGAGATGGCGATGACGCTAGATCGTTCAAGACGTTGCCGATGAAATCCTCAGCTATTATTCGCACCGACTCCTCCCTGGAGCCCTGCCCATCCCCGCTGTTCCCCTGATTTCTGAGTGCACCTTCAAGCATAGCATGCGAGTCTGCTGGCAGACTTTTTTCGTCATCCTGGCCGATTGCTGACGTTGTAACTCTCCGACTAGTTGGCCGTCTGCTGTCGTCCGCTCCTCCGAGCGTGTTCCGGACGTTTCTTCTACGACATGCATGTGGCAACATATCCTCGCCGTTGCCTGGGCCGTCACCGCCAGCATGTTTCATGCCTTCTTGTTTATCTGGTGACGTGAGGGAGCCCTTGGTATTCGGCTGCTGCCCCTTCTCTCCGCGCATGCCACTGCGTGACGGGGATCTCCCCGCGAACGGTCGCACTCCGAGCGGCCGTGTTTCTGGAGGCGGCGACGCTATTAGACGGCGCCTGTCTCGCAGTTCCTCCTCGCTATCGTCCTCCTCACGACTCGAAGATCCCCTGGAGTCGTGCTGCGTATTTCTGCCACTGCCTCCTGTTTCCTTGCTTTCGCTTCGAGACGACGACGACGACCCCTGTTGACACCGAACATGTGAGTGCGCAGTAATGTGGAAAAATAATTCGAGGTATGTCTGTGTTGTTGTCGATTGCAGCACATTCCCTTTCCTGTACACATCGCAGAACCATCACCGCAAATACCCGACACATCACCACCCTTTGAAAATGCTGTCTTGGAAATTTGTGTTACATGTTTTCGTACAAAATTTACAAGTGTTCGTCGTGCACAGTAGTTGGGTCGAGGGGTGACATGTAAGTATGGTCTACACCGCTGGTCGCACATATACCACACCCCCTTGGCCGATTTTCAAAGCCCGCCTACTCCAAGACGAGGACGATACCAGAGTTAACTCCTTTGGGTATAGCTTTTTTTTTTTCGGCATTAGGGAGGAGGAGAGAATGCGGGAGAGAGAGACAGAAGTGCAGCAGAAAGAGACGTGTGTACTTCTGTAGACGAAACAGCTACCTCCACCCATAGGCCATGAGGGCTGCCTACGACAGGACGGTGGGCACATACAGGGTAGGTGAAGGGTTGATGTGTGGTAGCGGTGCGGCCGCTAGGGCAGGTTAGGCTTGTAGGCCTCGAAAAGATCAGTCGTCAAGCAGTCTAAACTGCTCTATTTTCAGTATATTAAAATGATCAGTGAAAATGATCAGTGAGAGGGCTTGTAGACCCATAGCTGGTTCTTGTACTTCTGCACTTCTCTGTCCCCTCCCCAATGTGAGCCCTGCCGGCTCACTACAAGTACAGCTCCTGTGATTTTCCCACAATTCCCACAAGCACGCAGGCACACCACAGCACACACACTTACGTTTGCATCAGTGGCTCTCTAGGTTCGGGCGAGGGTTTGTGTAGGGCTATGATGATAGTGGATGTGTTGCTACTACTGTATGTTGGACTCGTCTATACTGCTGCTGCTGTGTAGTATGGCTGCTGATACGATGACTGCTGGATCTTAGGAGTGTACGATTTTCAAATTTGGAGGATATGCAGCATATCACGATCATATCCTGGCCTGGTTGGGTTCGAAGTGCCCCTTTTCGCTGTCATCCTGTCTTTCCTTGAGTGGCTTCCTAGATTCGGGCGAGGGCATGTATGTGGAGCTATTGATGTGCACCTCTGTGAAAGGATATGGCGAGAGATTCATGGTGGCATTTGCATTTAGAGCAGTATGCATTTTTCGAATTTTGGCCGTTCCAGGGACCTGATATTATCCGCTGGCACTGCTGTGACGTCTTTGTATTGGTCACCGGGTAGCGCGGTCGATGCGAATAATGAAGACACACCTACCTCTTGACATGCCAACACCTGGCGTGGAGGATACAGGGTAACAACTCCATGGCATGCCACAACACCATCATTTGCAAGTGATCAATCAATGATCAGTCAGGATGCCTGTATGTAGATCCAAACGGGTTGAAGGATACGTTTTCGGGATTCTCTCAACGGGACGGCTCCACCGTTACCATGTTCGGCACCGTCTCTAGATGCATAGACTATGTGTGATGCAGTTATCGAGTTCTGGAAATCGGTATTGGACGCAGAGGTCGCTACTCAAGTCACAAAGATATTGAACGCTTGCACCGCTCCTACATTTCACCTGTGGTGATGCTAAGAGGCGGTCTTGTTCCAAGGCCTGGGTTAGTTTTCGGCGTGACGCTGAAACACGGTCACCGCGTGCGCCGAGCATGGAGTACTCCTCCCACACGAAACCATGCAAAATTGAGAAGCTCGGGCCCTTCTCTCTCCAAACAGCAGTAGTTAACCAATGACTACAACCATCACAACCGCAACACCTGCAAAATACACACAAATTCACCGAAGATGCGGTGCATTCTAAGCGTATGCGTGGTCTGTGGTGTCAGGCTAGTCAAGGTACCAAGTAGAAAGTGGAGCGTAGGGCAGCGGTCATGCGTCATGCGTCATGCGCCATCATGGTGTCCTCGTCGTGAAAATTCCCCCGAAACGGCACGTTTTACCCCGCATCTTGGGTAGTCAGCCGGTTTCCCTCCACTCCCTGCAAAGACTCCAACACATCCTGTTCGACTGTGGTTATATCTCGAACGGATAGTCGTCTGTGTTTGTAATAATTTTTCCTAAGATTTTGGTGTCTTGGTGCCATGATGGTGGTGAAGTGAATGGGAGAATGAGAGAGAGAATGCGAATTTAGGGTCAAGACTCTTCATGTTATCCCTGAACGGGTTGATATCTCGAATGTTTAGTCTAGTCTATACAGCAGTGGTTCTTCGTCTGTGAAGTCTAGTTTAGTTGCTGGTTGGTGCTTGTACATACTGTGCGGGATTGGAAGCAAGGCGGGTGCAAGGAGTTGTGTCCTGATATAGAGGGTCGGGTGAGACCACGAAATGTAGACATTGTTCGCTGACTTCCACCGCCCGTTTGCGCCCGATCACGTTGAAGCATCATCAGTGCTGGAGCACAGGGACTGCTAAACGTACGAGTGGACAACACTGCCAGCTACTACCTGTGAAGACGTTCTGTTCCGGGGAGCTAGTGTTGTCGTCTTTGCCGGCGGGGCGAACACCAAGAATCTGGGCGACGGAGTCGATACGCCGCTCTCGGAGAAGCGTCGACTACTTTGGTACGTGCGATGTGACGTTGCGTGTGGTTCCACAGCAGAACAGAGAGCGCTAGCTGTTAACAGACAGCGGTCAGCGCACAGCAGTGATACGTATCGTTATCCAGGAGGCACAGGGGGGCATAGGCCAGACGGGCACAAATGCCATGTGAAGTTGGCAGCGGGTGTGCATATGATATGTCGCCGCTCTTGGGGGGCTTGCTCGAGCAGGGCGATGCCTAGCTGATGATGCGATTGCGGTGCGTGCGCTGGTGTGCATGGAGCGGCGCAGTTTCAATCAAAAGAATTACAAACCAAGGGTGCAATACGCGACAGAGGATATCATACGAGTATGCCAGACACAACCGAACCCCTTTGCGTGCGAAGAAGGTGTCACAAAGACCGCTAGGAGCGGATTGGTTTGCGTTTGTTTGATTTACTAACTTCAACGCGTGTGTAGGCATACGCGGCCAAGCGGAGGAAATACAGACTATACGTCGCAGGAGCGGATATAATGTCTAATTTCCGGTACAGCAGTCTCGGAGACTGCTGTGGTGTGGTTGTGCTATTCATAATAACACAAATCACAATTACCAGACAAGGCACAAGGTTGAGTGCAGGTCCTCAATCACACGACGGGGCACGAATATTTGAGTGCAGATCCGTCGGATCGAGGGAGAGGTGGCCAAGAGACGAAATACCAACTAATCCGTCTGCCCGAGGAAAGGTGGTGGATATCCACACCAACACCCAACACCCACGTTGATTTCGCAGCAGCTTGTTATTCGTGTACACTTGATGGACGTTTTTTTTTTTCCCACGAGGTTTTCCAGAAGTCAATGTGGACCGGATAAAAAGGGGGTGCGATGATTGATATAAACCATGTGGCTTGTCATCTAGCGATGAGTTGTGGTTATCAGAGGTGTAGCACGTATGCCGCTGGTGCGATTGCGGGACGGACTGCGGCCGTCAGGACACATAATCTGGGGGCCGGTTTTGTACGCG